GAGGAGCCACCGGCGCCGGGAGCCTCGGGAGGCAGCGCGGGTGAGAGCCCAACTGGGCCAGACTGGGAGGGACTGGGAGGGACTGGGAAGGACTGGGAGGAACTGGGGGGGACTGGGAGGGACTGGGAGGGACTGGGAGGGACTGGGGGGGACTGGGAGGAACTGGGAAGGACTGGGATGAACTGGGAGGGACTGGGAAGGACTGGGAGGGACTGGGAGGGAGTGGGATGAACTGGGGGGGACTGGGAGGGACTGGGAGGGACTGGGAGGGACTGGGGGGGACTGGGAGGAACTGGGAAGGACTGGGATGAACTGGGAGGGACTGGGAAGGACTGGGAGGGACTGGGAAGGACTGGGAAGGACTGGGAGGGACTGGTACTGCAGTGGTTTAAACTGGGTCAAACTGGTGTGGAACTGGTTCTGCACTGAGTTAAACTGGGTCGAATTGGTGCTGCACTGGTGCAAACTGGTGTAAACTGGTGTAAGGACTGGGAAGGACTGGGAGGGACTGGTACTGCAGTGGTTTAAACTGGGTCAAACTGGTGTGGAACTGGTTCTGCACTGAGTTAAACTGGGTCGAATTGGTGCTGCACTGGTGCAAACTGGTGTAAACTGGTGTAAACTGGGTTAAACTGGTTCTGCACTGGGTTAAACTGGTACAAACTGGTTCTGCACTGGGTTAAACTGGTGCTGAACCGGTACAAACTGGTTCTGCACTGGTACAAACCGGGTTAAACCGGTACAAACTGGGTTAAACTGGTACAAACTGGTTCTGCACTGGTACAAACCGGGTTAAACCGGTACAAACCGGGTTAAACTGGTACAAAACCGGGTTAAACTGGTTCTGCACTGGTGCAAAGCGGTGCCAGCTGCTCGTGCCCTGGTCCCGGCAGATGCGGCCCCGGCCGAGGATGAGGAGGAGGCCGAAGGCCCCGAGCCCCGCGAGGGCCCCGACACGGCCGAGCTGCGGCGGCGGCGGCTGCAGAGGCTGGGGACCCCCCCCCACTGACCCGGACCCCCAAAAAGTGACCCTGGGACCCCCCCCCACTGACCGGGACCCCAAAGTGACCCCAGACCCCCCAAAAGTGACCAGGGACCCCCAAAAACTGAC